GGCTAGCAATTGTGAGAGGATAGAATGGGAGTTCAATGGAATCAAGAATGGCTTAGGAAAAATATTAAAAATAAATAGAGAAGAAAATAAAATAAGATAAGGAAAATGTCCCAATTTATCCTCTCTCTTCTTCTCTTTTCCATATAGCCCCCTCCATATAAAATAAAAAAATCAATGGAAAATAAATTTTAGGAAATTAAAAATAATATTCAATAAAATCTGAAAAAATATGCAATAAATCTCAAAAATTCCCTAACAATATTTCTTTTCCCTTTAACTAGAAATATTACATATTTATTTTAAATTATGTCAAAACAAATATTAAAAAGCTAAGATAAAAGAGGTAAAAGTGTATAAAATATATGAATTATCACCTTTCTAGACTAGTTGTTAGCGCAAGTGGTTTAGAAAGATAGGCGGTGGCACTATCATAATTATATGGAATCTCGTTAAAACTTTCTAGACTGGTTACAAGACTAACCAGTCCTAAAAATCTTTTATAGATGGGTTGCCAACACAATCGGTCTAGAATATTTTTTTTAAACAAATCAAAAGTTAATTTTTTTTTTTTTTACACTTTCTACACTAGGTAACTTGAATAACCGGTTTGGAAATTTTTTTAGGGAGAATGACAATTAAAGACCTTCTAAGAACATTAATCTCAATTACAGACTGTGAAATTTTAAAATCCTAGTTAAGGACCATGGTCCTTAATTGTGATAAAAAATGTAGTTTGTGAAGTGGAATTCATTATTGCCACTTGAGAATTCACTAACTCAACTTGAGAAAATTTGTAACATATATTGTGAAAACATGAAACCCCACTTGAAAATTAATTGTTTAACAAAAAGTACCACTTAAGAATTCACTAACTTGACTTGAAAAAATTTCTAACGTATATTGTGAAAACATGAAACTCCACTTGGGAATTGATTGTTTAATAAAAAACACCAATTTGGACAAGTCACTTTTTATTAATGATTCTCAAGTAAGTTTTATTTTTTCACAATATATGTTAGAAATTTTTTCAAGTCTAGTTAGTAAATTCTCAAGTGGTGCTTTTTGTTAAACATTCCATTTCCAAGTGGGGTTTCATGTTTTCACAATATATGTTAGTAATTTTCTTAAGTTGGGTTAGTGAATTTTCAAGTCACGTTGGTGAATCCCACCTCACAAATTATATTTTTTTATCACAATCAAGGACCATGGTCCTTAACTGAGATTTCAAAATTTCACAGTCCGTAATTGGGATTAATGTTCTTAGAAGGTCCTTAATTGTCATTCTCCCATTTTTTTATTTTTTAATGAAATTTTTTTGAAGATATATAGACTAGTTAAGCTATCATCCAGTTTAGAAAATGTTTATTTTTTTAAAATTCAAATGACTTTCTAGGGCGGTTATATTGGAAACTGGTGTCCAAAAAGCGTTAGAAATGAGATGGTTGCATAGGGAGAGGCCAATTTTACTATGTATTGCTCCTAATATGAATTGCTTGCATTGGGAGAGACTGTTCCATTTTATAGCAGTATGGGTTCTCCATGATGAACTTGAAGATAATAAAGATAATTGACTACGCTGAAAGGACAATGTGGGTTGGCCTCTAAGTGAGATTCTTGCTTCTCTAGTTTTAATATAAAGAAAATGTAAAGAATCAGAATGGAACAGAAATAAAGTATAAGAAAAGATTAATATATTCAACTAAATCATGATCATGATGATCATGTAAAAATTCTTTAGATAATATAAAGATGATATGCATAAGAACGCCTAATCATGATGATACATGAGGTGGGGCAAAACATCAATCAATATAGTGACAAGTGACCTTTTATATAGACTAGAGTGCAAACCAACTATAAACTAACCAATACAAAATTACATCTAGTATCTATAGAAATTTGTATCCACTTTCATTTATGAAACAAGAAGTAGGTAGTAGTAACATTCATGATTTAATTGGAGCAACAAGGTCATCAACATACAGTTTCAGATAACAAAAATATAAATGTGTTTATCGATTATTGTCTCAACTCATCTTCATTCATTTTACTATTTTTTTTAATTTTACCATTTGTTTTTATTTTTGTTATTACTTTTACTCTTCTTTATTTAACCCAGTTAGTGTATAAATAAAAATTAAAATATAAAATTTACTATTATACAAAAATATCACATATTTTACACTCATTATTTTATTTTTGACTTTTTTTCTAATTAAAAGGGCTCCTTCCCCCTATTTTTCTCTTTCTTCCTCGCTTCAGCTTTAGTCTTTAGCTTCAGACAAAAACAAAATCCCTAAATGCCAAAATAACTTAATCGCTGATGACTGAATTGGGATAATATGGTCTTGGCGTTTCTGGTGAATGAATAACGGTGAATAAAGAATTAGAAATGGTCAAATGGGACATGGGGTTTGTGTTGTCGCTTTGTGCCTTGTGCAAATGTGAGTGAATTTGTGAGAAAGCCTTCTTTTGGGAGTTAGAACCACAACTTTTTTATTTTTTATTTAACAATGATATTATTCATTTATTTCTTTTCTTTTATTTTTATTTGATATCTAATTGTTTATGTCATATTGTTATTATAATAATTTATTTAGATTTTGAAATGAAATTTAGTTTTTTTTTTTAGGCTTCTTACAGTGGAAAAAAATTTCAAAAGAAAAGCAACATCATTAGACCAACAATCTTCTCAAACTCATGGTGAATGTAGAGATAGAACATTAGATCCAAGACTTTTGGAATTTAATTTACAAAGGTTCCTAGTGATCTTAGTTTGAGATTAAAAATGTCTTGTTATCATCCAAATGATAGAGATGAAATTAGACGATATTATTTGCAAAAAGGTCCTTGTCAATCCAAAAGAGATTAATTTTTCACAAAGACAATTTGGGAATACCTTTGGTACATTTAATCTTGATTGATATCCAAAATATGAAATCTCATAGGGAACAAAAGTTTGGATTGAATAGATCGAGTAAGATTAGGGTTCACATTGGTTAAAATTTGAGGCAAAGAAAAGAAAACGAAAAGAAAAGCAAATTTCTTTGTTTTTCTTTTTTTCCCCAAAGTCTCACGACTTTCATCCTCTTTGGTTTCCCAAAGTTGTGAGTGAAAATCATGACTTTTATCATAATTTTTACAACAAAAAAATTCTGGAAAAAAAAAAAAACCTGAAATGTAAACCTTTGATGCAATCAAGTAGACATTATTCAAGTTACCATCTTGAGCGAGTATATAATTTTGTCCCCCAGTATACTTTTTCTTTTTTTTTTTTTGCCAATATCCTCATTATATCTTCTCTTACTTTAATTTGCAAGGAGATATATTTTAGGGATAGTGTAGTTTATGATGCTCAGATATCTAAACGTATAGTGCGAGCTTATATCTAAGCCAAAAAATGCAAGTTTCTATGTAACAAAAAAAAAAGTTTTTTTATTAGTTATGGACCTATTAAATTAAGCCTGTAGTGAAAAATGAAACTTATGAGAAAGAAGCTGCATTTTCGTGATGTATTCTGTATGAAGAAGAAACTAAAATAAAAACAATAGACAGATAGGATTAGTTTAGAAAATTGAATAATTCAAATTTAAATTTAATTGACAAAACATTACATAATTTTTAGCTGTATTAGATATGTAGCTCATAAACTTACACGAGAAATTGAATATCCTCCATGTTGTTGTATGTCAATAGTAATTTATATTATGCTGTTGTAATGGAATTATATAATGTTCGTGTATGGCATCAATTAAAGATGAATTTGACAACTAGGAAAGGGAGAATTTGACAAAATGGTCAAAGATTAGGTATGGATTAGGAGACATACATTTTTTAAATAATACCATCATTTGCTAGTGGCGAAGTAGGTAAGGCAATGAATGCCATATTAAAACATATTTTAAATGTAACTTCACCAGTTCCACCTTGCTCACTAGAACTCACAAAAAAGAAAGATGAAGTTGGCCAACAACGACTAGACTAAAAATAGTTTATTTAAATTTTTTTTATAATAACCACTTTATTATAGAGAATGTTTCTGATTGTGCTGAGACACACACACAAACACAAATATGTAATTTGATTGGCTTCACGTGTTCATAAAGGTATGGAGAAAAATATTGTAGGATAGCTAGCCAACAATGTTATAGTTTCATGACTATCTCAATACAATTAAAATCACAATAATAGGAACTGGATTAAAAAAATCACAGACTGATTATTTGACAAAATCTTTTTAACATAAAATATAAAATTTATATGATGCTACATTATTTATAACGCGATCAAAGCATAGACAAAAGTAAAATCAACAAAAGACAAAAAATGAAACAAAGAAGAATACAATAATAGCCTGTTAGCCTCAGTCATGTAGACGAGCACTCCAAACTGGGACATCAACAAACACGGTTCCTTTTATGGTATATTAGTTATATACATATCATAATTTATTTCATGCTTGAGGTATAGTTGTTTTTTTATTATTACACATATTTTGCTCAGTAATCTTTGGTCTTCTTTGTAAGAAAATCAAGAATTGACCGCTTATTGAGGGTTTCAACTTTTAAGATGAGCAAGGTTATGGAAGACTCGAGAGCGTGATTTAATTTGTTCTAGCTATTTGGGCAAATGGGCTTATAAATCCGTGATCATGCAATTATATAACTTTATAGCTTCAAAATATCTATTTTTCATCAATAAAATTGAATTCAAGAAATCCAATCAATGTATTTAATTGACGTAATTGCATGAAATACATAGAAGTGATTATGTCACTGCAATTAAACTTTGATCGGTAAGGACATTGCAGAGAGCTTTCGACCCAATTTAAATTGCAAGTTGGATCAGTTGTCAAAGTTGACTTTTGAAAAAAAAACAAAAGAAAAAACAGCTGAAAAGTTGACTTGACCATGCTATTTTTACCAAGTCAACCTAACAAGCCCATCGTCATTATAATTGAACACGGCTTTCCTCTCAGTTCTTACACCAAAAGAAAAAAAGAGTTCTTCCAGTTTCGGAAGACCAAGGGAATCTGATCTGAAGACTGAAGCTGCTAAACCTCCTCTTCTTCTCCATGTGCAATGACGATGGACCTTGTCGAGACTGTTCACCGAAGCAGTTGCGGATGATCTTCTTACGTGTGTCCTTTCACTCCTTCCTTTGTCCCAATACTTCCTTCGGTTCTTATTATAAGACACTATTTTTGAAAGAACTTTTTGTCCTTACTATAAACCACTTGATATGTATTTCTTTGTGGATCATTGTAGATATGGGTTTATATTTGGATGATGTTTAAACTTTTTAACAGTTTGTTATCGGTATTTGTTATTGGTATTGTGTATGACTTATATTGAAATAGAAGCTGTGAAAGTGCAATGTTTGTTTATTATTGATTTTCTACTCCACTATAAAAATGGATTAGCTAGCCCATCCCATTTTCCAGCCGGTGTCCGAGACGGGATATGCTGTGAGGAACCCTTTTGGTTGAGTGAAATTTTTAAAATGATTTTTTCTATATATTTCATATTTAGTGACTGGTGTTTTTCTGGGAAGCTTTTCATAAAAAATGGTTGTTGCTACCTTTGTTTGCAACGGCCCCCGAGAATCTAGAGAATTTTTTTAATGTCTTTATTGATTATTTTTCTTTTTTGTGTTCTTCATTAAATATAATATCTGATTATTAAAATATCTAGATTGAGATCTCTAATTCTTTCAAGAGTATTTGAACTACTTAGTTGAGAATTATGTATCTCTTGGCGTGGTTTTAATATTTGCATTATGATAAGTTATTCTTTGAATATTGTTGGACTACTCATGCTAAAATTAATGGTTTGTTATTTACATATTATATTTTTCATGGAAAAATGATTATTTTCTATTTTAATTAATTTAAGTTATTTTAATCATGACTGGTGGCTCCAGGTTGACCCGGTTGGGCCAATGACCCTTGAATGCTTTGACTAGTTTAATGACCAGTCTTGGTCCTGTTTTTTGCACCTTATGTAGCACATAGTTCTTTAAATTCAATTAGATAATTGAAGAAGACTATCTTCCACAGTAATACAATTAGTGTTCCTGCCCACGATGGGCATGGCAAGCCTAAATTTCTGTTCTCCTTCCTCAAGATAACAGTTCCTTCTTTTTATAAATTTATTTCCAATTTTGAGTTAGTGTGACTCTAATGAATTCTTTGTCTTCTACCCTGTCCTTGAGTTTTTTTTTTTTTTTTAGAGGGACCAACAGATGAAGCTCTAAAGAAAAAAATAGATGCCCAGAATTGTCAGAGGTTTTCCTATAAAACCTTATGTCAAGCTACCAATAGATTTGCCTCTCGAAATAAGCTCGGTCAAGGAGGCTATGGACTTGTGTACAAGGTAAGATCCTTAAGCAATTTTCTAATTTTATAGGAATTTCAATTTTTCAACTCAACTTAAAAGGTAATTAAGGCACACGTAGTTGATTTTAAAATGTCAATGAAGAAAGACAAAAGATAGCGGAAACATCACACAACAGTGGAAATTAATTTCCAAAATTATTGTATTTTGTTGTGATGCCAAACTTCTCCCTTTTTTTTTATTTTTAAAAACATTTTACAAATGTTGATTTTAAAGAGATTTAAATTAAACCTTTGATTTTTATGCTATAACAGGGGGAGTTGGATGATGGGAAAGAGATTGCAGTGAAGATGCCATTAAATGTGTCAACACAGCATGAGGAACAATTGATAAAGGAGAGAGAGTTGCTGAGTAGCGTGAAACACCCTAATGTGGTGAAATTGTTTGGTTATTGCACTAATAAGAAAAAAATCTTACTTGTTTACGAGTACATTCCCAACAAGAGTCTCAACGTGCTTTTATTGGTAAGTGCCTACCTGCCTCAACCTCACCTTGTAACCAATCTCATGTCATTTTTTTAACTAGGAGTAATGCACTCTGCAGGTCCCAATAGGAGAGACCAGGAGCTTGATTGGAGTCGGACCTACAACATAATCGTAGGCATCGCAAGGGGTTTGAGCTATCTTCACATTAACCCCCAAAATTGCATCATCCATCGTGACATAAAGCCTGAAAATATCTTGCTTGATCATAAATGG